TATATATTATATAATAATAATAATAATATATATATATATGTATATATATNTATGTATGTTTATANATATATATATATATATATATATATATATGTATGTATATATGCCTTTATTTCGAATCTCTTGTGGTGCAGGCTGGCATCGGTATGAGTCTTTGTTCAGTTGAAGCTTACGTCGACCTATGCATTCATCAACAATATTTTCGTTGGCACACACATACGTTCACGTATGAAGGTATTGTAATATGTCCAAATGAACTAAAGATCATTTGATGGATGTTTCGGTCCGAACCATCTGCAGTACAAGCGAGCGCAGACGTACATGGTGGCCAAACACTCCAACAACGAGACAGGTGATGGCGAAGGGTTTGAGTTCACGGTGCGCGAGGCGTGCCATGATGAGGTTAGAGGGGACGGTATCTACACAGAGAAGAAGGCTTATCTGTCCGAGTATGTGCGTTGAGAGACGACCACTGTACTTTGCAGACCAGTGGGCTGTGAAGGTGGTTATGGAGCTGTTGACTTTGTACTTGTTTTATTGCGTACCTTGATCTCTGCGGTTTCTATTGATATTTTTTGTTATCGCTTACGCACAGTGTAGTGCACATGCAGCCGTAGTCACGCACACACTCTCTCTCTCTCTCTCTCTCTCTCACTCACTCACTCACTCACTCACGCACACGCACACGCACGAGCCTTACATACACAACACGTTTAGTTTGGCTACGTATTGGCTTGTCAGGGCAATGCTAGTGCTGTGCCATTGCCTGTGTGTCCCACTGAGCTATACATATACGTTTATAGATGATTTTAGAGGCCGATATCTATCCAGATATCCGCATTCACCTCATATCATCTACAGCCATCACGCTTGACCCCTAAAACAGTGAGTGTTCCTTCGCTAACATCTCAGTCGAGGCACCCGTCAACCTTCGATCTCACGACTGTGTCATGCATTCCCCACTGATTGTTTACGCGTTGTGCCTGAGTCTAATCCCTCAGTTGCGCGTCGCTGTGTGGACCATACATACCCCTCTGAGCGTTGCTATGGTGCTCATGTCATGCATGCGTTGATCTTCTTTGCAGTAAGCTGGGCCCGTGGCTGAAGCAGTTTGTGCCGAGTATATTCTTTGTGTGCGAGAAGGCCTGGAACTACTACCCGTATACGCACACCGAATACTATTGCTCGTTCCTGCCCGTCTTCTCCATCAAAGTAAGAAAACTAAGAACACGTGCACCAGTGAAACCCTAAAAGCTCTCAAACACTTACGCCTAGACACCTCCGTTAACGTACGCTCCACTACGCGCCCGCAACGGAAATAGCACCGCACCTGTTGGGTGTTGGTAGTGCGGGTACTGTATCCGTCATGCTATGCCATGTCATGTCATGTCATGTCATATCATGTCATGTCATGTCATTTATTTGGGGTCAGTACTACCTGTATTCGTGTGTGCCAAGCGTGCAGTGATCTGCTACTTCCGTCTGTGGTGTATAGCTTTAGTAATACGATTGAGAGATGTAGTCGAGAGGCATTGGGTTGATGAGTATGTTACGGATGGGGTTGACGAAGGCCAAGAGTCCTGTCTTGTTCGGGGGCAGTTGTGTGACAAATGCGTTTCTTCTGCGTGGCCGTTCATTGGGCGTGTCATTTGAGGAGAAGTCCCGTGACACGCCTGCTTGTTGCTGACAACATCTTGTTGCTTGTTGCTGGTGTCTTCTTGATGACACTTCCTGGCATCTCTGGCTGTTGTGTGCCTTGACCTCTGTCCACTGCACTTGTTTATCTTCTGTTCAGTGCTTGACATGTTGCACATGCATGCTCACCCACTATCGACCCCGCCGTCTTGCTTCGCCAAATTAAGCTACGCGCATAGCCGTTGCTTAGCAACGGGACAGGCCCACTGTTCCCTAGCAACGCACTAGACCGGCGCTAGTATATTCCAGACACCCACTGTTCACTGAGGTATACTTATCGTTTGAGAGATTTATACCAAGTCATTGTAGTGCTGGCTTGTCTGTGTACCACAACAGCTTGTCTCATTCTTTGTACCACCTCCGTGTGTCTCATTGACATCATTCTTGGTGTCACCGCAGATTGACACCGTGTACAAGGACGACAACGGCAACTGCCCCAACGCACTGGGCATCAGTGCCGAACAGTTGGCTGTGCGAGTGGTCGATGTCATCGATGTGGCCGACCCCAACAACATTCCCGCTGCAAAGAAGGTACGCACGGGCTTGTAGGATTTTAGGGTTTAGGGTTTGCTTAGGCTGTTATGCTGACTTGGTGTTGTGTCTCGAATCTCATTCTCCAGTGCACGTCCACCCCCCGCTTCGTTCTTGTTGGATGGGGGGGTATCTGTATCTCCAAATTATTACTTTTATCGCCCCAAATATACCTATCAGCAAAGACAGTGGTATCTCTGTGTTTGCACTAAACCATAACATGCTGTATTTAAGCAAGCCGTTGTAGTGATGTCAATAGCTGTGGCACCTTCACTGCGCATATGATTGAACCTTTTATCGATAACGAACCAATGTGTGACAGACCAGATCACCTCTCTGGGGAGTCCAATATCTAATAGGCGTGGGGATGGCTGATGCAATCAGTAACTAGTAAAGTTCAACCGCACGTTCGCAGCGAAACTTCTGTCCGGAAGCATGCGTACGTTCTCAGAAAGTATGATCGGCTGACCAAACCCAATACTTACAATAGGGGTCGGTGGTGGATCTGACTAAGTTCCAGTCGCAAAAGACGCGGAGAGGGCCGTTCAAGAAGGGCTGGGTGCAGCGCACTGAGCCAGTCATGTGCTCGTACAAGTGCTGCACAGTGTCGTTCTCTGTGTGGGGCATGTCAAACATGGTGGAGTCGCAAGTGGCGAAGGTGTGTGACAGACGTGCTGTGTTAGCTAGGCACACGTCCAGGGCTGAGCCATTTGATATGTGTACTTGCTGTTGTGAATGGGTGAGTTTTGTTTTGCTTTGCTTGTGCGAGGCATGTGTAGTGTGTTGGAGGTGTGCGATTAGTAAGGTAGCGATCGTGGTGGTATATCTGCGGGCAATGAAGACTTCACTTCGACCCCTTGTCAACCGTTCACGAATAATGTCTGTGATCTCGGGCACTTTGTTTGTACTATTGCAGGTGTCGGAACGTAGTGCTTCATCTATAGTATATAATATATGTGCACTGGCAATGGGAGGCGTTTGTGCACATGAATTGATATAGATATTGATCTAAAAATACATCAGAAACGATGGGAGTTCTGAACCCTAGAAACAGAAGCGCGTACCAATATACATTGTCCGTGTTGCCTGCTAGCGTGAAATAGGCGGCGAGACTGTGGGGTGGTACTGGACCCGTTGACTGGGTGCCTTAGTTTCACGTGGCAATTTGTGACCACATACACATACGTCCGACCGCCTTCAACACCTATGAACACAAACGTAGTGTGGAGGTATAGTCTTTTGTGATGTGGACGTCCATGGGTGCGGGTGAGCCATGCCCTACGCGTGCATTCGCTTGCCGTGCCGCTCGTCTGTGCGGCTGTGTGTGACTGACCCACTGATCTGGCTTTGCGCTGCTTATTGTCCCTCGTAGATGGTTGTGTCTTGCAAAGTGCTCTTGCCACATGTGCTGTGTGTGGGGCTGCGTGTGTACGGTCACGTGGTATGTGCATGCTCATATTTCCCATATTGTATCTGTAAAGCGTTCCGTTGTTATGATGGTGTTTCCAAGGTGGATGATATGCGGGCGCGCATTCAAAGAAACAACAGTGCCCCATGTGTACTGCTATACTCATCAACTTCAACATCGAGCCTTTGAACTTCAGTCCGCGTAGCATAACTCTCGCTGTTTCTGAAGCAACGTATTTTTAGCACCAAATTTTGAGACAGTGCATTCGAGAGGCATAGGTCGCTAAGTCAAGGTTATTCGAGAGGAACATGCATCTTAAATTGCGCCTCAACCCCTTTTCTGCTGCAGTCCATCCATGATTTGCTGTCTGTTGTGCACGCTCAAGCCGTGGGATGGATAGATGAATGGATTGATTTGAGCGAAGAAGAGGTAAGCGAATCATTTGCAGCAGTGCATATGTGTCCTGTTTTCATCGACGTGTATTGTGGGCTTATACTCGCATGCATTCGATGCATGGGCCACATGTGTATCGTTGCAAGGATTCATACATATGAAGGATTTTATTTATTTTAAGATCAAAACTTACAAATGTATTCTGACGACCCACTGCGTCTGAATATGTTACTTAAATTTGATATTCATGTACATAAACACATGGAGACATATTCCTTTTATGGCCTCTCATCCGGGTTGAAATCGGCAGTCTGCGTTTATTTGAGTTGTTTTTGTTTTTATCGAAGTAGGTGTATATATGTGTGTACCTAGCCCTAGATACTTCTATACTTACTTTTTTTTGTCATATATAGGTACACACGACAATCTAGATATACATATGGAATCGGTACATACCTTTTATGTACTTCGGCATTTGTTCGGTTTTCAATGTGATTTTGTGTGTATTTGTCTATCCTTACATATTGTCACACAAATCTGTATGAAGACATCTGACCAGTATGTATGCTATTGTTTGCTCCAGGTGCAAGCCTACGAAAAGGCAATGCGGGAAGACATGAACAATAAAATAGCGTCAACCGCTGCTTCGGCACAGGAAGCTGAACGAAAGGGAGAACTCAAGGGAGCGGTAGATACTGTGCAAAGGAATAGTAAGAACCTGGGACTAGGGGGCCAGGTGCTAAGCTCCTTGTCTGGTTCAATAACAAATCTGTCTGGGTCTCTGAGCACTTGGTGGGGCAATGCAAATAAATAAATGGATTTTTCGATGCAAACAAGGAAATGGGTTTTAGTCGATAAATAAGATGAGACTTTTGTACGACGATAGTTTGAGATGCTGGAAAGATCTTAACAAAAAAAACGCTGCCAATATACACTATAAATTTGAAGGGCCTCTGATTTTAGTATAGGCATTCTTCGATTTATACTGCCCTGACAAAGAAGGGTAGTCTATTTCTCCTCTACTATACTTCAAAGATTTTGCATTGCTGTACCACTAAAAACCCCTAAACCCTAATATATGATTCGATCGCAAAAATTAAGATTCTGAATGGTGATGGGTCATCTGTTGTTGTTAAAATCATGATATTCGAAGTTTGATTTGGCTTTTGACCGTGTGTCCTATTTCGAAAGCTGATATACTCTAACTCGGGAACAGATCTTTTTATTTTGATGCAATCGCCAGTAGACGTCAGTACCCTCGTATTCCAGCGTGATGAATCCCACAATGATCCGTTCCATTTCATTTTATTCTGCTCCGATCAGTACCGATCAACACCGATAGCTCAGGTCAGAGAAACAATGCTAATCTTTTCAACTCGAGAGAGATTTGGATGCCATCTGCCAACAGCATGCCGGAACTTAAAATCGGACTATACAAATGTCAGCGGGCGTGAGTCGCCGAGCATAAAGCATGCGCACAATTCAGAAACTGAATGCAGCAGATACCGTTTGGATGCCTGGTAGCCCTTTCCATATCTATGCGACGCTCTGTGAGATTTAGTTATCATGCGCAACATAGGATGCAAGAAACTTTGATTAGTGGTGTTGCACGTTATTTTGTGACATCATGTTGGAGTATATATCTACAAAGCCATGAAAAGTAGACCCGGCACATATTATATTATAAAAACAGGCTCCAACACTGCCCTGCAGGCGCAATTATTTGTTAACCAAATTGCAAATTTGATTCGCCAACGGCTTGATTACAAAAGTATTTCTTCGTTTACTAAAAACAAAGTAAATTGACTCTTCAAGCTTGGTTCGGGGTTTGAAAGTGTACTTTATAGACTACATTTTACTTTCTTTAAGTAAATTGACTCTTTAAGCTTGGCTCGGGAGTTGAAAATGTACTTTATAGACTACACCTTACTTTAAGTAATTGACTCTTTAAACTTTGCTCGGGGGTTGATAATGTACTTCATAGACTGCACTTTACTTTAATGTGAATAATTTCCGAAGAAATACGATGGACGTGCATCAACGCTTGCCCTACTTCGTGAGAAGGAATGCAGAAGTTCCACGATTGAAAATGTACTTTATAGACTACACTACGTTACACTTTAAGTAAATTGACTTTTTAAGCTTGGCTCGGGGGTTGAAATTGTACTTTATAGACTGCACTTTACTTTAAGTAATTGACTCTTTAAACTTGGCTCGGGGGTTGAGAATGTACTTTGTAGACTACACTTTACTTTAATGTGAATAATTTCCGAAGAAATACGATGGACATGCATCAACGCTTGCCCTACTTCGTGAGAAGGAATGCAGAAGTTCCACGTAGCAATAATTTCTACGATTTTAAAATGTAGTTGTAAGTTCACTAGGATAGTCTGTGCTACTCAGATCTGCGAGGGATATTGCTAAACTCACTTTTTAACGTCAAATTATAAGAAATATTCTTGTTATTTCTATTGGAAAGGTGGCAATGACTAGATAAATGGTTTAAACACAAATCATAGTTACTTGTCGCAAAGCTGCATGCCAAATTTAAAATGGCTGATATTCACCTTACGATTTTATATGGTGACAAAGTTACCAGGAAAGTTAAGCATGAACAGGCTGACAATTATATGTAAAGATTTTAGAATGTCGTTGTAAACACAATATTCTCATTGACTGGCAGAAAAAATGTTCAACACTGTTCGTGAATTGGGTATACACAACTTAAATCTGAAAAAAGGTATTACGATTTTCCGTGGAGCATCCATTCCGTGATTTTTTTTTAACTTACAAATCGACTATGAATCGGGACAGAATCTTGGAGCAGGGCTCAAATACGCTATTATAATCTAATCACTACGAAATAAGCATGTATCTGTGACCACTTCATATTTTTATATCAACCTCGTACGATAAGTAGTGCACGGGTTATCGGTGCACAGGTATAGCAAGGTAGAGCCGTATGGGGTAGTGATAAAACCACGATTGCGACATGTTTTATGTGAGTAGAGAGCTTTCAAAACTGTAAATACTTAAAACGCACTTAAACAATCCTTTAAGCGTATAGTATCGTAATATAGCTCTAACGCATGACCATGTCGGGAAATGGTATAATGACCATTGAATGCCCCTAATAAGATGACCAGTAGATTGACATTGCATTGATTTATATAATTTCGGGTGAAGTGTTTTGGCGGATTGTGACTGCACTCCGCAGGTGTCTTGCGAGGTGTGTGAGTGAATTTATCGGCAAGAGCGGTATGTATCGTGCGATAGTGCGTGCAAGCGTTGTAAGTGTGACTGCGATACTAACCACACTCAAGCTAAAAGATACACTCAAACAGAAAAAAATACCATCGTGAATATGTACAGCAGAGGACGGCCGTATTTGTACGATCGCAGACGTGACGCGTGCTTTTGAGTGGAGTCGGGCTTCTAGGAAAGCCTTGTCTAGTGCAGAACTGCGTGTGACTATTACATATCTAGCAGTGATACATGCGAACGAATGTATTTCTGTAAGTCAATTTATGTCGAAAGCTGTCAACCGTCTGGCTTCGAATGTATATTCAGTCGATCCCGACTCACTTTCGACCGAAACAGCGGAAATCGCTGGATATCTGCTAACACTCCTACCGCAGCTGGTAGAGTCTAAAATTGTAGGGACTATCATCGAACTATAAAACAAAGCTCCGAAAATCTCACTACAAAGGCGCATCGCACAAACAATATTGGTTAAAGGACTGTCGAGGAAAGAGTTTAATAGACGTGTTGAAGAAAAATGACGACCCGACATGTTCTGGTACATCAAGGGTTTACGGTTTGATGACTATCGAGTGATGACTGGCAGTACTGGTTTAGGAGTTGTGAAGCATAGTAGAGCTAGGTTCAACTTGACCAAACTCAAAAGTGCTATTAAGTCTATACTATCTGACGAAAATGTTTGTCTAATATCCTGGGGGACTGAAACAATGAAAGTAGGGCCAGAGGAAACAATCATACTGCCGGGACTGACTACACGAAAGACTCCGCAGGTAATGTAAAAAGATTCCTTTGTGTCAATTGACGAAGATGGCCAAATAGGTATAACTAGTTTTATAAAGATATTGTTGCGACAACAAAGAATGATGAGAAGCCTATAAACGACGTAAACTATGATACTGGTTGTCTCATGACTAACATTATAGATACGATGCAAACCAAACTTGAATAGTTTTCAAAGAATTCTGTCGAGAAGGTCCAAATTCGATAGGCTCCGCTAAGACCTTCATTAAGCAGCAACTCGACCACCAGATCACACTTAAGGATGTTATAAACACACACCGATTACAAAACGCTATACTAAAATCTGATCCTAGTGCACCCATTAAACCAAGTAAATTTAACGATTGCAAGTTATGCCATGGGTTATGTCGGAGGATATAAAAAAACACAGTAACTGAAAGCGCATACGGTGGGTCATTGGACGTACTGGCGGCGTGTCGTGATAAGCTGGAAATTTACGCAGAGCATCGTACTCGTGTTAAAACGCAACACTACTATTATGATAAGATACTCAGATATGCAGGAACGTTGCCTGTTAAACAAAGGTAGTACGGAGGTATTTACATCTATGAACTGAAAGATAAAATTTGATCCGGTGAGACAATATACGAATACTTTGGCCAACGAGGATAAAATGACATTGGTGCATGTCGATGCATTTTGTATATAAAGGATGGGTTGAAGTAAACATAGCAGCTATTCGTCGTATCATCTACGATGGCCAGGTATTGGATGGAAGAATCATCAGGATACTTAATTTGTATATTTAATGGTTGAGGCATACCTATGTGTCGTGCATGAACTACTACCGCAGATGACAACTGCAGGTCTAGGCTGTTATAGATCAAAGGAAATACTTGTTTTTCTCGGTTTGTCAAATTTATTGTGCCCGATTACTCGAGGTCGCGGGCATGTCAAAAGCATCATGAAGTCCTCGAAGCGTTACCCAAATAAAAAGGTTGATACATCAAAAGGCTCGGATACTTGGAAAGGGGAAATTCCGAATTCGTTTGTGCAGATTGTAGCGGTTGATAAAGCGAGAATGCTAAAGATGTTCATCGATCAGATAAAGAAACTCATAGATACTGCATCTCAGTACTTCAGTCGCGTAGATGATATTATATTCGAAGGTATCAGTTGTCATCTTGAAGGTGACGAAAGACGAGATGTGGAGAAACTACTGCAAAGTAATATTGTGATACATCTGCGCGCGTACGCATATTCAGATATTGGTGGGGGATTGTTGTTCCGCGCTTCTTTCAAGGATGATTCATTCGACGTTGCGCATGAAGCCAAGTGCTCTCGAGAGTTATAGTAGTATTCTTGAGATGTATAATAATCCAACTCAGAAAGATAATAATATAGAGGAAAAGGGTGGTAATTTAGCTGAGAAGGATAGTCGCAGTGATGGTGATGAGAGGAATGGTGTTGAATTTGGAGAGGAGAATATTCCCCAAATACATCGAATTGGATGAAAGTGAGCAAGAAGATCGCGGGAAGCAAAGAATACGCAAGAAGCTGAACAAGATTATCTCTTGGAATCAGGAGAGGCCACCGATGATCTAGAGGACACAGAACTAGACTTAGAGTTAGGCATCGAAGCCGACATTACTGAGATGGGAGTTAATCCTTCAGATTACTTTAAGTTTAATGCAGGTATTGCAGCTGAACAGCACGTAGGATATGGACTCGATGATCTAGATCGAGTATCAATTAATTGTTTAATGTAAACGTTGTAAATCAGTCGAAATTTCACACTATTCTTGGTCCATGTATCTAGGTAAAGGCAAACGCAACATCGGAGAATATATTGGCCTCAGGTATCAAACTGGTATGCTCGCTATATCTGCGAATGCTTTAATTGCTTTGCATGCCATCGCTGTCCGTAATTCTAGAAAGGAATTTTGAGAGGTACGGCTAGCTAAGGATATTCATCCACCTAAACTCCAGATAGGATGGGCAAAATGTAGGTCGTGTGTGAGACAATATGGAAGGCCTTAAATTAAAAATATGTTCAAGATATCAAAGATCTGTTCAAAAATGGCGAGATGGATTCTTTACTAAAGATGCAGCCTGTATCCGTACTCGCACGACTGAAGTTAATGTATCCTGGGCGCTATTCACTTCCTGGTGAAATGTACATTTATCTCAACTATGACACAAACGAAAAAGGGTCTCAAAATTGAGCGCAAAAAGGAAAAAGCGTTGGCAAGACAGCAATGGTTAGGCGAGGCTAAAACCAAGGATAATGGCGAAGAATATGTACCGCCTGCTGGCAAAAAGTCAGCTAAAAGGGTTGAACTGTAACTGTTTCCTAAAAAAAAATCAACAAGATATTATGGATATGATGGAAGAAGAAATTGATATCAAATGGCAGAGGGTGATACCAGCATCGAAATCACTGTATGTAAATGGGGATGGCAGTCTTTTTGAAGGCTTTCCGAAGGATGATAGGATCAAGGCATAACTATCATACTGCAAACTAAGGCTAAAAATTCACTTGTATGAGCAAAACTTTGAAAGCTCACATTTGAATTAAAGTTGGGGTGCGCTGACACAAAAGTTGCAATGGATGGCGTCAGACAGTCTCAGGAGTGACGCGCACAAGTGTCAATCAAGATCACAAAAATGGTGCGAATAGTATATAAGACAAACAATGTTAGCGTGGGGTGTGGGGGACTAATAGTAAAGTGCTAATGTATTTAAAGTATGGTGCATTCGAATGAATTTATTTATGATCTCACCCTCAGTTATATACTGATGGTGTTTGTACTAGTGTTCAACCACTAGGGTTGGCCAGGGTAAAAACTCATATAATCAGTATGAGAAACCTTATGCAGAACACTTTAGCACTCGGATATATTTTCCAGAAATAAATATATCATATTCTCTGTTACTACACTCAGTCTCGGACCTTGGCTTTCGGCTAGCCGGTGGCCCGTATTCTATAAAAAGAATAATCTGAGAAGAAGTCTCAAATTACTCTTACGTTCTCTCGGGCTGACCCACCTAAACTTATATTAACTTGAGAACAAGTCCCAAATTACTCTCGGGCTGACGACGTAAAACGTTATTAACGTATATAGAAATACGTCTACTACTGTAGTCTCTCAAACAACCTGGGTTTTAGGGTTTTTTCCCTAAAGTTGTCACTGTTGAACTACTGCAACACTTTCTATCTAGGTACTCCTATGAGCAGGCGATCAATCTTTATGGAGGGACGACGCATAACAACTGGGAAACCACTGATGAGAATGTCTCTCAACAGGTGGCAGATTGTTTAGCCTGGTATATTAACTTTGATCAGGATGGTTATCGTCCTAAGGAACTTTGATCAGGATGGTTATTGTCCTGAGGAACTTTGATCAGGATGATTATCGTCCTGAGGAACTTTGATCAGGATGGTTATCGTCCTGAGCGCTTTTCTCCAACAAGTTTGAGCCGAAGCAACGCGAGTACTAAAACAATTCTTTACCTGGCTGAGAAACATTCTGCAAGGACAAGGACGAGCTATGTTGAACTCTGCTGGTGAGACCTCTTTTCACCGTCGAGAGGGTGCCTCGGGTGAAAGAGGTGAGTAGCCGCAACTCTTGAATGCAACCGATCGAGTTCGGAAAACGGGGAACGCGTGAGGGACCAGGAGTTGGACTTACAAATTGCTTCTTTGGAGAAGCATCTGCGGTCAGTGACATCGGGCTCGACTACAATGGTAAACCAAGTGAAATTGATTGAACTAATGCGATAGTTGAATGCTCAACGATCCGAATCGGGGCGAAAAGGTTTCTCCCAACGGAAAGGTAAAGCCACGCATGGCACCTACGCCGACGCGGTGGGAGACCTGAACCTAGAAGACCAGCGACGATTCAGACGACGAGGTATACAGGGATTTGAGCAACAGAGAGAAGCGCCATACCGGGGTCAAGCTGGCAGCACTGCAAGAAAGCCAAGTAGAAGTGCGCAAGTCTCAGATACTACCACTATTCGTAGCCAAATTGTTGGCTCATAATGTCATGAGTCAGTATTACTAGGGACTCGGTATGACACCAACAAAATGGTTCTCAATCAGGGTATCAAAAACCGGACCTTGGAGAAATATATGCTATGCATCGATCGAGTGATAGAGCTGTTAGTGTACGAGATTGGGTACGAGGTAACCACGAAGTTGTCAGCAGTGGAGACTCGCTACCGACGGATGCTGGCGTGCCAGACAGCTGTCGAAACAGACAACTGAGATTTTATCTTTCTCGGCGAGGAACCGGCCAGCCAAGAACTAATAGCGCCTCACGGCCTTCGCACAGCGTGGCTGAAACAAGCGAAGGGTCTTAAGGAAATACAGGGTTCATCTGTGAATATTCCAAGGCAGAAAAGGAGGCGAAGGACAAGGATGCCAAAAAAAAAAGGCTAAATCGCTTTAGGAGAGATGTGTCGGATGCAAATCACCCGGGCACCAGGGCAACATCTAAACCCCGCCAAGAAAATGCGCATAGCAGACACGATTTACATGTGTACCATTCTGAGTCGGAGA